TGAGAAACTGAAAGTGTAAATAAGGACTAAAATTTATAGTAGATAATGTGAAATAGGAAGAAAAGGTTCAAAGGGGAAAAGAAAGTGGGAGGGGTAGGGAAAAAAAAGAAGAAAAATAAATAAATACAAGAAAAGGAAAAAATGGAAACAAAGTCTTTGTAAATAGGGAGGGGTGGAGGGGTTGAAGGGAGGGCAGGGGAATGGAGAAAAAAATAAGAACCAAGTTACAAACAAAAAAGAAATCTAAAGGAAAATTGAAACCAAAAACAATATCTCATGATAAAAATGAAAACATTTCAAAACTTAGAGAATATAGTAAAAGCTGTATTAAGAGGGAAGTTTATAGCAATTAACAACTACTATTCAAAGAAGATAGATCTTAAAAGAATAACTGAACTTTACACTACATAGAGCCCCTACTTATGTGTTATGTCAGTGGTAGGTTTGATTTCAGCACTACAAAAAAGGGGAATAAAGAATTTAAAATAATCACAATATGCTATATGCATGTAACAATTCTCCAAAAGAAACATCATTATTCTGTATTACAAACATGCACTAATTTGAAAAACAGAATGAAGAAACATGCAGATACTATAAACTTATATGTCCCAGTAAAGGATAAAATGACTACATAATGGTCAAACAGAAAGAAGAAATAGTTTTGAAAGCCTTAAAGACTTGCTGACAGAGATAAATTGCAGATACTATGTCAATAACTGAAATGAAACAATTTCTAACACTTTAACAATATCTGTTGGGTTGGAAAGAGTCTAGAATAAACAGGATGTCCCTCACATGAATATTTCAATGGACTTGAAAAGTAATAAGTACCATGATTCCCATCACCTCCCATTACCAGGTTTCTGTAATTCTTGCTCCTCTTCAAAGAATGTTGTGCAACAACTTTCCAAGAGTACTGAGCTATTCTCTTGCTTTCCCCCCTTTGGTGTAAAAACTGCAATGCTGGTAACACATTGGAACACTCAGTTTCCAAACCGAACTTCTGTATTTCAATTTCCAAATCTATCCCACAAATAATAAAATTGTGTCTGCTTTTGTTTAATTTAAATTGTTCTGTTTGGTTCACAATCTCAAAGATAAGCTCTTCAGGGTAATACACTTTTATCCATAGCTTACTAAAGAAAACGTATTTAATAATTCTAGATGACTATTTTTAAACTATTAGTTCATCAATTTTACCTGTGAAATTTAATCTCATGCTACTACTTTATCTCTCTCTTCTAACTTCTGTTTTTTTTCCTTTTCTGACAAAAGTGTTCTGTGATACCTAAAGCACAATTATGTGAAGATATGCAATGTCTCTGTGTTATTCATTGACTTTAAATACATATAAATGATTACAGACATCTGGCTTACATAGAAAATGTTATAAATGGAATCAAACATTTTTCTTTGGTATATTTCAAGTATTCCATAATAGAGTTCAATGTTGATAAGATAATCTGGGACCAGCCAAATTCATAGGAATAAAATAATTATACTGCACGATGGGACCATATAAACTAGAATAAAGAAGTCAGATTTATCCTTATTGGCAAACTTGAAAAATATGTCTTGGAGGAAATGGTATAGCAGGGTGAAAAAGAATGCTAGTCATTGGTCCTGTAGAAATGAGAGATGCTTGTTGGTAAGCAGCTTATTCTAGAATTTAAATGAGAGCAAGTGAAAGAAGGGATTGATATTTCTCTTTGTCTATAATATAATAACATTTTTCTTCATATAGATTGACAATAAAAGTGATCTGTGGATAGAATTGTAACTCATGGGATTCAAAAATTCACCTCTTGGTAAGTCATTAAGGTGTTTTACTCTAGAGAGATGAGGCCCAATATTTATGCAGGCTTGGGCTTACGCACACACACACACGCACGCACACACACACACACACACACACACACACAGAGCATAATTCTCTGCCAAAAATTCAGATCTTGGGAGGGCCTATATTCTTTATTAATCCCACTATATTCTTCTTATTTGTTTCAGAGCCTCAAACAGTTACTCTTAATTTGAAAATACTGAACTGGGCTGTAATGAGAATGGAAATAATACAGAGATCAATGAATTTGCTGAAATTGGAGAGTAGAAAACAGCATTTATCAAAGATGGTGTATAGTCATCTAGTGCTTTAGCAGTTTACACAAAATTATTGAAATTGTTATATTTTCTTGAAGTTTCTGGAGCTGTTATACAAAGTTATATATTGTGTGTACAGTCTGGCTGAAATATTTTTTCTAGTTAGCTTTGCCATTATTTGCTTGTAACAGAGTTAAATCATTTGAGTTCACTCTCAAAGGTGTTATGAAGTTAATAAGTGATCCTTTTATCATAACTAACATTCATAACCATAGTAATTACCATATATAATATCAAGAGAGATTTAGAGAGCAAATGAACATGCTAAAATTTTACTCAGAAGTTAAAGATGTTGTCGTGAAAGATTTTTTCCAGTGCTATTGCTTCCTTCTTATGGGGTCTTGACATTTTGTGAATTAAGCCTCCCCTTTATTTTTCTTGATTAATTTACCCAACACTGAGATACTCTTCCAACTTTAGAATGATTTTTGGTCTGATATAGTACCCTCCCACCTATCTGCTTAAACAAACCAAATACTATTTTAAAATATCATTTTTATTAGCCAAATATTAAATAATGAAGTCATGTTTATAACTCAAACTATAATTATTAAACTTAAAAATAACAACTCATAAAAACAAAGACTATGTTGATTTTCAACTTATGTTACTATATATTGATGAGGAAATTCTAAAAATCAGAAAGTCATGAAACAGCATGGATAAAGCATAGGTCACTAAAGCATGAGTGTTTGAAATAAATATTTGTTTGACCATCCTTTAGACTAAAGTGTAGCTATCTTGTTTTAATTTTATGTGTTCCTACTTTGTAAGCAACTTGCTAAATATATTGAGTTGTTTTCCCAGAAGTTTTGCAGTAGTACATTGCAGAAGGAGCAAAAGCAGGCAAGAGCATGACTCTAGATTTGTCTGTGGATGCTGGGAAATACTGGTTACAATGATGTAGTCTTCGCAAGGCTATAGGGATGGCAGGTACAAAGATGGAACCTTGCTTAAGTGGAGGAAAAGAAAAATTATTCAAGTCCTTTATAAATTTTGGGACTAGTTTTTGACTGGGAATTTTTGACTATATATTAACAAAATAGTTAATATCTTTTAGTGTAAAAGGGTTAGAATCCTCAAGAGTGTTTGTTAGTACAATTCAGGTTATTGTCACAGATTGATGGCAAAATGTGGTTGAAGGTGAGTTTTAAAGGTGAAAAAACACAATCATGGGTAGTGTATGGGTCATGCACATGCTCAATGAGCACAATAAGAATATAGAGAAGATTCTCGGAAGAGAAGAAACTAGTAAATTAGCCATCTGTTCTTTGTGGTTTGTGTGGGATTATTTGGGAGGTTGGTATAAGATTAAGGAAGAAAACAAACTGATCCTATGAAAAATAGTTGCCAGTTTAATGATCTGGAAATGGCCTTGGTCAGCCACCCAAATTATAATTTAACATGTGGAATATATGGCACATGAGGATTCTGAAATGGAAAGCTCCCCTTTGCTGGGAGTCACACTGAGATAGAAATTTTTATAGTACTGAGTAAGAATAAGGAGCTCTCCTTAAAGACTTGCGAAAAGGGAAGAGTGCTGCTGTTTTCCTGTAAAGAAGATTCCATACATGACAGCAAAATGACTCCAAAGGGAGAAAGTCAATGAATTTAGAATCATAATAAAAGCAATATTAAAAAAAAATGAGGCATAGGTCTAGGAGAGGACAGGCCCTAAATCTAGCAACTTTCATGTTACTTTACCCACTGTGGGATGTTGTTTTATTAGTGAATTTTAGATTTCTCACAGAAAATTTCAATACCTTTTAAAATATTTTAAACCAAACTATCAGTAATTTATATCATTGCTTGAATGATCTCATTACTTCAGTGATTGAATGAAGCCTGTGAATACCTGCATTGGCTCAATAAAAATAAATATTTGATGCAAAATATTGAATGTAATTTTCCAGATTCATAAAGTGTATTTTTGCCTTAAATACTGAGCCTAATTGAATGTTCCACACTATTAACATATTTATGTCTTTATCACTCATTTAAGTTTTCCCAAGTGGGCAAGCACAGTGTGGAGGCAGGGTATTATGTGGTTTTATTAATGTTTTATTCAAAAGCAAACAATTGAGAATTCCCAAGCCAATTAGTGCTCGTAGTTGATTTCTCATTTTCACATTTATATTTGAGAGGTCTTTGGTATTTGTAATTTTATATGAGGTATATATGTGTGTGTGTATGTGTGTATTTATGAGACAAATATCTCTGAATGTTGATGTCTGATGTTGGCCAATTTATAATCTAAAAGAGATATTTGTGACTTCGCCCAGGATTAGCCTTCCTCAACTTCCTTCCTTCCTCTTGTGGTTCATTAATTTTCCCTTTCATGTCTGATTTCTCTTTGTTTCACTCTCAGTGTTCTCCTATCCTCAACTTTTACTTTCCCAGGGAATATGATTTCCTTTTCATTCAATCCTTGCAAAGTCTTTGAAAATGGCATTTTTAATAATAGAAAAAGCAAATATAAACCTCCTTGAGTAACAAATATCCATGAACACAAAGTAATTTTCCTTTCAAGTTTCACTTATTTTAAACTAAGGTATCCATTACAGGAGTTACAAATAGTTTTGATATATATGTGATGCTTTGATATTCTGCAACTTGAAAGTATTAGATGAAGACAAGACAAGCAGTGATTTGCTGCATGGAAGGATATACTATGGATAATGAGAAAATACAATATATGTGAACAATTTTTATTTTTTTCCTGATTAATATGACTAAGTTATCTATCATTGGAAATGGAAAGGAAACTTTATCGATATTTTCCAAGATATTGTATATAGATAGATTGCCTCATCTAAGCAAAATGCATGCTTACTGTTCCCTTTAAGACACTTTTGTTTTAAATGTTCACATGTATACATATATTTAGACAGTGGTATAATAAATCCATGTGCTCTTCACCTAACTTTGGTAATTATCAACCTATGGCCAATTATCATTAGCTGCACATCAGAATCTGATCTGACTAAAAAATACTCAAGAACAACTTTAATCCACTATACCAAGTCAAGTTTTGAGTGGAACACTAATCCATTTTAAACTATGCTCTTTTTTAAAAATTTTGTACTCTGGCCTATACACACTAAACCCCTGTTATCTGTTATCTTGTTCTTTTTATTTTTATTAGTGCATGTTGGTAATACATAATGATTACATCCATCACAGGGAGTTATTGCACATACATAACACATTTTAATTCTTTTTTTCATCCAATTTCCCAACCTTCCTACCTTCTTCTGTTTATCTCTTGCCTTCCTTCCCTTTTGCAAAGAATGCCTTCCTATATCCTGTTATCTTTTATTTTGCTCTTTATTTATATTTTAGTTTCCCATGTGAGAGATATCATACAATATTTAAGCTTGTGTTTCTGATTTATTTCACTTAAGATTATGGTCTCCAAGATGTGTTCTTTTGATTGTAGTTGCTGCTATGATGGATCAACTATGCAAGAAGATGGATCCCGGGACATCAGTGCTTCCTGTTCGGCTCTGGTGAGAAGAGCCTGGAAGGGTTTAGCTCTGTTCTGGATTCCTTCCTTGTTCTTGCTCTTCTTCCCTGATGACATGTTATAAGCAGCTATCCACCATGCTCTCTATCAGATCATCCTGCAAGGAGCCCGTCAGACATGCAAGGACTGAAACATCTATAAACTGTGAGCCAAAGTACACCTTTCCTCCTTTAAGTGGAGGATGCTGGGTATTGTATCTCACCGACAAGAAAACTGACTGAAACTTAAATTAATCAATCACAGTCACAAACAGATTATTTTTTATTATTATTATATTATTATTTCTTCAAAAATGGAAAGTTCTATTTTTATCTTTAAAACTGCCATTTAATAATGACAATTTAATTTTTCGAACACTGATTTTATTAAAGACTGCACTATAATGCCAGCTGTTTTGCTTTTAATGTAAGATTATAAATTATGCACACAGATTACCTTTTGTCACAAACAAGATGGTAAAATGATAAATTGCTAAAATTATTACTTGGGCAGATAGCCATTAAAATAGTAGAAATATAAAATAAGATTTTATCAGTTTTATATATTTAGTTACAATAGGTCTTACCTTTTTTTTTTTCAGAAGGCTCCATATTGACTTCAATTTCCTATAGAAGTCACAGAAGCAAAAAAAATATAATAGGAGGTTACCCATTCCAGTAAGTTCTCCCAAATCATTTCAATCACAATGACAGATGACATAAAATATAAACTTGATAAATATGAATTGATTTATAAATGAAGCATGAAAACAAACTTTACAGTCTCTTATAGCTCTCCAAACCACTGATTATCATGACATAATCAATTAAAAGCATATAGTCTTGACCTTAGACTCTGTTTATCCAATTTCAGTTTCACAGGTATAAAACATGAGACAAAATTGATAGCTATCTTCTCTAAAATCATAATAGCATAAAATAGAACACAAATCCAGAGAGATTCTATCAAAAGTCTACATCTTCTATCTTTAAATTTTAATTGTTTAATTTCATTTTTAAAAATCTAGATATATTCATTATATATATAATGTACAAAAAATTCATAGAATAGAGTGTGTAGGTTCATGAGTTTTGACAAATGTATGCACTCCTGTAACCACCACACCAACAAAAGACTCAGGATTTTTCCAGTGACTCAGAATGTTTCCTCAGTAGCTTGTGAGGAACTGAGATCTCTGTGAGCAGCGTACAAGAAACTGAATCCTCCCAACAACTGTGAAAATGAGGTACACACCAGATCCTTTGCAGCCAAGCCTAAGTACGGACGACTGTGGGGTTATAATAGATCTAGCACCAGACGATCCAGATGAATGACTTAAACTGTTCCCATACTTCTGAACAACAAACAGAAGCTAAGATGATAAATGTTGTTGTGGGCCACTAAATTTTGGGATAATTTGATAAGCAGCAATGGATGACAAATGCAGTGATTAATGGCTTGTTAGAAGATCTATGTTTGATTGGGAGTTTTAAGACACTGTTCTGAGAAGCATTCTTTGCTGTGGATTTGGATGCTCTCAGAAAGTGAAGACAATTCTATGAGTGGATACCATAGTAATTTTAATTTAAAAGACAAAAGAAACTAAGGTATTGTTATAGGTCAAGTGGCAAAGATACAGTGGGCAGCAATGACACTTAAGCCAGCAGTGCCAGAGAAAGTGGATTGAACGTACCTTAAGTAAAAATGTTTATTCTTATTTTATACTTTAAAGTTCAAATTCAATTTAATAAGATCAATAGTGACTTAATGTTCCACAAACTGCTCTGCGTGGTTATTTATATAACTATTCTACTCTGAATTAGTTTATCCTTTCCACAGATATTTGCAGAAAAATTGGTACGAGTCAAACATGGTGAAAAGTGTTAGGAGTAGAGAAAGAATTACACTGCAGTACCTTTAAGTTTGTATTTTATTAGGAGAAAACAAATATAACACAATGTCTCAGTTAATCATTTAATTTTATTATAACAATTGCTATGAAGATGTATTACAGTGTTTTGAACTCAGATTTAAGGGAAGAGCTTAAATTTTTTTGAAACTGAAAATTTTGAACTGCCATCTGAAGGATAAGACACATAGAAAAGAGCTAAGCCAAGAAGAAGAGAGAAGCATTCAAAAAAAAGATAAAAATACCTTAAAGTCAAGTGGTAAGAATAAGAATGATGGATTTGAAGAACAAAAGATCCTAAAGGGTCTGAAATTCCTACAAAAGTCAGTAGATAGTAAGGATGGAGATTTTATAGGGGCAGAATTATGCATCACTTTGTAAAAGTGTGGAGTGTTAAGGTTTATCTCCTTTCTAAGAACAAGGGATAGCTGCTCAATAGTTTTAAGCAGAGGATCAGCACAATCATGTGCCACGGTAATCTGTTCTGTCTGAAGTGCAGACAACAGATTGCTGGGGAAAACACACAGGTGCACAGAAACTAGATGTGCAGTTTTTATAGCAATTCGTGGAAGAGAAAATTGGTGTCTCATAATTGATAGTGTGATGATAGCGCATAACAGACTATTGAGAAATATTTAGAAGGCAACATTGACTCAGTATAATTGTGTTGAAAAATTGTCAAGAGTAAAAAAAATTCTAGAAGGCAAAGTGGCTATATATTAATGGTGTTTGTTAAGATAGGGAATCTGGGAAATTCCATATTTAGTTGCCTCAGTAACTGAAGATTCCAAGGGAAGATGTGGAATAAGAGGTATGAGGCCTATATTGGCTAGTTCCCCTATTTTTTTTCTGGGCACACAACTAACTCTATTTCTTAGGGTTTTCCACAGTTCTGTTTAACTGTGGGGCTGAGTTCAGTAGGGGTTGAATCCTAGTTGACAACTACCTCACAAACCCCTCTCCTTTATTTCTGACAGCTCAGTAAAGACAAGTGAAGGCCAATGAGTGAAGGCCACTGAGTGAAGGCATCAAAGAGTGATGAAGCTGAACTGAGGGTCCATGCGGGGACAACTCATGTTTACCAATACTCATAGACTTTCAAGTGAGGGAAACTAGACAATAAAATATAAGTTAATAACTATTTAATAGCAGGTCAAAGGTAGAAGGTGCAATATGAAAAACAGAGCAGGTAAGTTAGAATTATGAGCCATTTGATACATCAGTTGTGAAGGAAAACTTGACTAAGGAGACTTTTATGCAAGGAAAAAGAATGAAGTACACAGATATCTCAAAGAAAAGCATTTCTTTGAAAACAAGATGGCAAATACAAAGGCTCAGAAAGTAGACTTCTTGAGGTACTTAAAGAACATCAAGGAAAAGACTTAGTTCCTGGGGAAATTTTTAAAAGGTTGCCGTGATAGGTTATGAGATGTGTGTGGGTAGTCAGATAGCAGAGATAAAATTCCGTCCTAGAAGCCATAGTATGGGGTTGGCTTTTACTTCTAAGGGAGGCAGAGTTAGGGGGTTAGATCATGACATGATTTCCCTAACTTAATGGAAGAATTGTTTAGGCTGCTGAATGGAAAAGAGATAAACAAAAACTGAGAGATAAGAATGGAATCAGAAAGTTTCTGTAATAAAATCTTCCAATAATAAGAATGGCTGGGATGATAATGATGTCTTGTATAGTGGAAAACATGAAGATCTTCTGGATCCATTTTGAATGCATAGTTAATAAAGAGTAAGGGGAAAAAAAGAGACAACAACAACTTAAATATCGTGGTCCAAGGAAGTTGAAATACAGACTTGTGTTTTATGGAAGTGGAGAAACCAGTTTACTGCAACAAGAGCAAGTTTGCAGTTTGGTACAGAGGAGGTGGAGAGGAGCCTGTTAGCCTAGAGAACAGGTGAAGAAACTTATGATAAATAAATTTGGATTTCAAATTAGAATTCTAAATCTGAGTAATAAATTTGAAGTCACCAGTTTATAGATGGCATTTACAGCCATGAAATTAGAGGTTATATACTTAGACTGTGAGAGACAATAAATTATTATGTTAATAGTTTGTACTCTTGAGGTTGAATGATCAAAGAAGATTTAGCAAGGTGTATAGCAAGGGAGTTGGTAGGAAAAGCATGAATAGGAGGCCGTCTGAAATCTAAGAAGGAAGGAATGACCAATCATATTAATAGATGTTCGAATTAAGTTAGAGGCCAATAGTTCACAAGGCGCTAAGCAATATCCTTTCATATTTGACCTCTATACCTATTTTACTTTTTCTTTTTCCAGTTGCTATTTCTTATAGGTTTTTTTCCTTGTTGTTTCATTTACATTTGATCTTCTTTCCCCCAGAGAATTACATGACTTACTCTCTCAACTTTTACAGGTCTTAATTTTTATTTTCTCTGTTAGATTTTCTCTAAAATTCTCTACCCCATACAACCCTTCACCATTCCTTGAGTGTCTCACCATATTACACCTTAAAAATATCTTATATTCCATTTACTCATATTCTACATTCAATTTGGAAAATAATTGTCTGTGCTAAATATGTACACTTCCTTGTCATCATTTTCAAAACAATACAACAACAACACAACTATGTACATAACATTTATATTGTATTACTACTATGAGAGGATGTACAAAGGCTATATGCAAATTAAAGGGACTTGAACATTGACAGTTTTGGTATCTGGCAGGGAGGTTCCTGGAACCAACTGAGAGACAATGGTTTTCTATCGTTTCTCTTGTGCTACAAAGGTAGATATAAGTAGATGCACCACAGACCTCATAGCACATAAAACCTGAAATATTTACAGCTTGATCATTTACAGACAAATTTTGTTAATCCTTTTTCTAGAAAAACAGGGTAGGTTTACTGGCAGGTCTGAGGGGTCACCTTAACCTAGGTAAGTCAATCTTGACATGTGCTTTTCCCCAGCGACACTTTGTAGGCAGGTTCCCATGTGGAGAAGTACGTGAACATATTTGGTGTGTTATCATGTGAGTTCAAGGAAGACAAAGGGTGAAAGGAGTTTGGGATTGGCAAAGGAGTGCCTATAATGATAGACTTAGCAATATAATCTAATTACTGACAGAACTGACATTATAAGGTGGAAGACTGCAAAAAGTAGATCAGTAGATTGTCTTGATGATAACAGATGGTAATTGGAAATAAAATTTTTACATTTTAGACTATACGTGATTTGCAATGATTGGAAATTATGACTTTTAGGGATTTGAGTGATCTTACTTTTGTCTCAATGAGACACAATACCTGACAGCCACAACCAGTTACAGTCCATAGCAGACCTGCTACAGACTAGATGTAGCATGGTAGAGGGGCACAGCTGAAGAAAACTGCTTACATCATGGTAACCAGGAAGCACAGAGAGAGAAGGGCCTGGCAGAGGAAATTATTCATGCCATGACAGCCAGGAGGGAGAGGGAAGGGAGGAGCTGGGAAGGGAGATACACTCTTCCAGGTCACATCCCCAGAGCACTGCCTCAATCAGCCCCACTTCCTAATAAATCAGCTGCAGTGCTCACCTAATCTGATCCCCTTCCAGGAGCCCTATGGCTGATTGCCTGAAGCTTTGGTGGGGGAGACTGCAGATTCCAGACACAAATGGCTAAAGTAGTTAGAGGTCAAACTACTGAAGGAGAGAAAATTAATTCCTGCCCTGTAACTTATTTGTTAAAGTTTTGTATTACTATCTGGAGTCTCCTTAGTTACTATAAACATGAACTTTGTACTTATATAAATCAATAGGTATCCCATTGAGGAAAATTTAGAAGGTACCTGATGTTTCACAGATGTTAGGTAGGGCCAGTAAAAAAAAAAATAAAAACCTTAAAACTTATTGTGCTAACTTGTGGAAATATTTTTTAAAACATATTTTTATATTATTTGTGTCTATTACATTATTTCTAATTTACTTTGTGCCACTTACTAAGTAAGATCTAGATGGCATGGGAAGCATGCTTATTTTAAAAGCATAGAGATATCTTTCAGAAAAATTATTGTTTTGTTATGCTTCATTCACATGCCAAGAACATGCAGTCTCACTCAGGATACTGTTGCATTTTTTCAAAGACCTGAACCCATCTTATTCAAAAATAAATACTCAGAAAGATGATGGAGATAGTAATCACTGTGAACATTATGAATATGAAGAAAAGCAAATGTAGTTTACAACCACAAAGAGAAGACAACTTTGGATTGTATTTGCTGGGTCACACAGAATGGATCTGAGCAGGAGAATAAACTGATAGTGGTTCTAGCTTCTGTTAAAATAACCTGCTGGACTATTCAAGCTTTTCTCTGAGTGATGTTGGTATACTTTAATATTCATTTGTTGTTTCTGAGAATCTTCTCCATTTATGTATTGAAAATCCTGGTAGATATCATCATTCTAAGTATAAATGATGGTAAGTACAGAGAGTACACATATATAAATAGACATAGAGATTCATGTGAAGATTAATATGAAGTCAGAGTTTAAAATAAAAAAAGAAGAAAGAGACCCATTTTTAATGTTCATTTAGTGGAAAGCACAAAATATGTAAGGCGTATTTTTAGTGTATCGTATGGGTGAGCCTTAACTAGGATGTTAAATAATAAATCAAAGTGAAGATGTTAATTTATTTATGACAACTTGTCATAATCTTTCCAAGTAAAAAGGGCCAGCACATTCAAGACATATTAAAACAAAAGCCAACCCCCCCCAAAAAAAAGGGAAAGGAAAGAATAGAGTAAGTCTGATGCTCACTTACACATAAACAGTATCTTAAGTGGTACACAGAGAAGCACCTCTGCCCATCTTGGGGTGTACTATTTGGTGTACTGCTCCTTTGAATAATGGTTCAGAAATGGCCCCTAAAGGACAAAAATAATTGTTCACATAAGTAAAATTTTAAAAATACTGAAACATTTCTCTAAACATTGAAAAAGACCCCAGTCTTTAATCAGAGAAGCAGTGTTGGGCAGTTAAAATAAGATTGGCTCCCTGTTTGTCTATCCCCAGAGCCTAGGGAAAGAAAGCTTCTTTTTAATGTTCTGAGATCCAAGCACTGAGCATTTGCTCCCATACATTGGGTAGAGAGCAAAAATCCCTTAAGAAAGTAATACCTATGGTCTGAGTTGTTTTGGACTATTATTTAATAGATGTTATTTTTTGGTCTAATTTTTTAACTTTTTAAATATATATGTTCCAACTATGCTGTTCTTTTCTTTCTTACTCAAAGAATAATGGGATTTTTATTTAATAGATATTCATCACTTTTCTATATTTTATGCTTCCAGTTTTCTTTTATTTTGTTCAGTATTACTAAACATCATCTGTAGAAGTTGCATAGATTAGAAAGACAATAACAGATATTACTTCATTTCATATTTCATTCTTATGAATTCATTGAATAATGTATAATGTATTTAAACTTCAATTTTTAAGCAAGAAAAAAAATGTTTAAAATGATCAAAAAGTAAAAGTTATTTTTGGGACAAATCCAAAGTAGAAAGATATTTACATTTGAGCTGGTAGAATTTTGCCCTACTTGCCTTCACACTAATTTAAAATGATGTTATCTGAACACCTTGCAGAAAATTTTTTAAATTGCATTTTTCAGGCATTATGAATTAATTCAAATTTCATGATGGTCAGCATATTTCAGCTACCAATTAACTTTGTCTAAGGCAAAACAAAATAATGAGTAAAACAGAAATTGATCTACTTCCTTTTTAAGAAAAATTGCTATTCCTAAATTTTAACATGAAGAAATAAACTACTCTTCAAGTTAAAACTGGCCTATATATTTTTATTCTCAAAATCAGTAATATTCTTAATCATTATATTAGTTTTATAATTCCCACAGTAAATTATTTTCTTTAACGATAAAATTTGTATTTTTTCAAGAAAGGTACTTTCCAATTTAAAAATTAGAATCATGTTATAAGGATTTTTGAATAGTATACACAGCAATCCTTCCTTTTCTGCAGTTTTATGTCCATCATTTTAGTTATTGTTAACTATTGCAAAGGTATTGATGGAAAATTCCAGAAGTAAACAATTCATAAGTTTTTAATCAAATAATGCAATGATCTTTGATCTTGTGGCATTGTGTTCCATCCTCCGAGGAAGTAAATTACCTCTTTTTCCACACTGTACATGCTGCCACTATTTGGAGAGGTGGGGGCACTCTCACATTTATTTAACTTATATAGTATATGTTAAATATTATATTATTAATTGTTGCTAATATTTTATTCTGCCTGGCTTATATATTAAATATCATAGGTATCGATGTAGGGAAGAAACAAGTTTGTATAGAGCTGAGTACTATTGGTCACTTCAAGCATCCACTGGGGGTCTTGCAACATATACTCATGCACAAAGGGTACTATATATTATGAAAATTTGTTCATGTTGATGTAGCATATAATTATGATCTTGCTGCTATCATAAAAAATGAACAAGTGCTGGAAAGAATCACAATATCATTTAATGGCATTTATGTAGGGAAGAGCTTTCTTATTGATTAAAAGTGACTTTTAAAACAATTAATGTGTTTGGCCTCAAAATACTTTTAATTACTGGTTGCTATTTCTGTTGCTATTAAAAGTGTTTGTTCGAAATTTTCATATTGCCATTCATAAATACAGACTAACACAGTTCCTTAAGGCTTGATTTTTAATTTGTCATTATTTCTAGTTTGAACATAAGAAATTAGATCCAAATCAAAAACTCTAGAAAAAAAGATTTTCATGTCGTTGCTCTCACCTTAATATTTTCAAGTGAACAAAGAAATCTTTTTCTTTCTGAATTGCGTTAGTTGTTTTGTTTTTCAGTAAGTTTGTGAAGCACTAAAAGAAACAAACAAAAACAATAGGAATCAGGCAAGAAAACAGCAGAAATTGGGAAAAGTTATTTTCTAAATAAAATGACAATCAAAGTCTTTTCTCCTTCACTCTCTGCCTGACTCACATTCCTGCACTGAATGTCCTCGCATAAAATTTTCATTGAATTTTAAAGGGCAAGGTCTCTGGAACTGAAATCAAAATCTCAAGAAGAAGGCATCTATTGAATTTAAAAATAATGTACACAAATAAGAAACAGAAATAAACGAAACAAAACAAAATGAAAAATGACTGCAGAAACTAATAATAAGTACACAAAGTACACAAGAATTTTTATTACATTTTGCAAGCACTTTGTTCTACATTTCAAAAACGCCACCATCAAGCTGTTGGCACATTTATGTACAAAACAGATTAATTGTAATGCCTGCTACAAAGCACTCTGTGAAAATACAAACTCTAATACCAGAAATGAAAGCCAAAAGTGTCAACATTGTTACATAAATTTGAAAGACAGTTTTAAAAATCATCACAAACTGTAAAGACACAAAACTGAAACACTATAATATAGAATTAAGGAAGCCCATTAATACTTTTGCTGAATATTTTTAATACTGCATATATCAGAAAAATGTTGAACCAGTAAGATAATCTAAGTGTAAAAAAAAGCCAAACTCCAAATCAATTAATTCTACAGAATGCATAATCATGCCACACAGATAACCTTAATATTACCCACCACCTACTACAAGAACTTGTAAAATTACTGATGATGCATGACTAGTAGTTGTACAAAGATTGGTTCACTCAATATATTTTATTAGAAATGCACTTACACTGAGAAAAGATTTCACAATGGTCAAATCAGTGCACAACACTACCTAGTTTTATACACTGACAAAAATGTCTTGTCAGGCCACATCATTTTAAAAGACACTTTACAGCATTCTTGTAGCATTAGAAATAATCAAAAGAAGAGAGTCAAGGTTAAAACAACACCAAATTTGGTCCAATAATACTGATTGCTTTTTCTTTAAAATTCCTTTGATACAGGTACTTCTTATAAATCAATAGGAACAAACATTCAGTTTAAATGACTTACTTGAAATATAAACACAAATATATCACTACACTTTCAAACAATATATTCTATAGTGGCCTCTGACCACACTTTAGAAAACACTACAGGTAAACCAACATAGATTGGAAGGCTGCAAGCAAAGCTATCATATTAATGGAAACCTTTTCAAATATATCATACACATTTTAGGAATAGTTTACAGAGGTGCAATCCATTCAGACTTTTTAAGTAGGTAAAACAAGTTCTGAGGGGTTAGTGTGCTTATTTTTAATATACCACCTTCATAAAGGTAATTAATTTTCCACATTAGCATATTAAAAGTTCCAATCCAGCCACTTCGTAAATCACACAGATCATTCTCCAATAATCCACAGTAGTTATTTCCATTAAAATGTTCTCTACACTACACTTTAAAAGGTAAGCTTGGTGTCACAATCTTAAAAAGGCAACTAGCCATGCATTAGCATTACTGTTTCTACATGCTCACAACAGAAATATGAGTGATCAGAGAGAAATTGTTTTTAAGTACATCAAGAAAAAAATACAATGTTAACAAAGATAAGAAGCACTTTTTTAAAACCTACTCTTATAAATTTAGAAATTGCACCTTAGATTGATGAAAACATTAACCAGGGCCTACAGTATGTGGCCACTGATCTCCAGACAAGATTTCCGCATTTCAAGAGGAGGCATCGTGATGTCAACTCTGTTGTTCATAATGTACAGTGGTCCCTTTGAAGGTTACCTGTAGTTAAACTAGTTACCAAAATCAAAACTAAAAAGTATAAAAAGCTGTTTTCTTTTCAAAACATAAGAAATAATGCAAAAAGTGTTATGTATAACACATGAGAAGTGGTTAAAAATTAAAAAAAAATCTTTGCAATTGATAATATTAGTATCTTTGATCTTACAGAACTATTAAATGAGTTTGAGAAATGTTTAAAAAAAGGTGAATAGGAGCTTGTAGAAGAGATCTGATACCAATTTAACAAATTAGGAAATTAAGTGCTGAACAACAAATAATTATATTCAGGTGATTCATATGTCACCCCACATATCATTGAAGAGAAGCACTTTCATTTTGTTTTTCAAAGTTTGAATGGTTGGATGGACCTTAGTTAAACACCAATGCATTCAAATGGCAGAAAGAAGAGAATATTTTATTTATGTGTATGCATTGAGCCGCTCTTTGGAGCGAGTGGAATGGATGTCATGAAGCTCTTGCTCCTCCTTTGACTTGATGTCTTCATATTTCTGCATCCGGCAGGCATCTTTTACATAGGCCCAGTTGGCAGAGAGGACCATAAGGTAGTGAACCTAAGCAAAGACAAAAAGAAAAAAATTACACTGAAAGCTTTTTCACTGTCTTCATTACATCTTGCTATCAGGAGAGAAATATTCAAATTACCTAGTAGGGCTGGGGATTTAGCTCAGTGGTTCTGTTGCCTTCCTCACAAGCACAAGGTCCCGAGTTCAATCCCCAGTACCAAACCCCACCCCAAAAACAAAACAACACAAAAATTATGTATTACAAGAAAAATGTGCATATATAAAAAGAAACAAATATTTCTACTGTAATAAGATAAAATATATTCCTCATTCATTTATTAGTGTCTCTAGATTTTCTTCTTTTTTGACTCTAAAGTAATCCAAGACAGTTTCTAATCTTTAGGTCATGTTTCTGCTACATTCTGCCCTTATTTATAATTCAACTTTAAGATGATGTATTTCATGTTCATCCATCTGCTTAATAACCCATAATCAGAAATATTATCATATATTTTTGTGCATAATTAACATGAATTAATAGGAGAATATGCTGTCTCACTATCCAACATAAACCCGGATCATGGAAACCCCAAAATGTATCTGTGCATTTATCAAGTTAATTTGCCTTGAAATGAATTTTGCCCTTTTCTTTAGATGACATTTCATACTACAAGACAAATATTATACATGTGGATTTTTTATATTTATATACATTCAAAACAATCAGAAATGTGCCATGTTCAAATAGAAAACTCATTTGTTTTGAGTAGAAAAGTTATTCAAATAATGAGTTCTTGTTGTGACTTGAATTGACTCAGCAGTGAGCCCATGCATTGATTTATCTTCCATTCTTCCCTCTCAAGCCTCAGAAGACAGCAATTTTCCACAGGATGGATTTGACAGATGAAAAGAGAAGAGGAGCTAAGTTGTCAATTATCTATTTTCTCTGAGTTTTAAAGGGTAGCAATATTTTTATCAAATTTTAGAAAATAGAACAATAAATATTTTGATAATAAAACAAGAGTATATTGAAAGGCAGGAGGCAGACTAGTTGTAGAAAAATACAGATGTATATCAAGAACACAAAATCAAGTATAATAGTGACTATTGTATATTCAGGTAGTCAACAGATAGTAAAAAGATTAGACAAGATACTCTTGTACAATATGGCACTTACAGAGTGAAAGCTTAATCACTGTACACAAAAGTGGATAAAATAAGGCTTACCATGTACTTTAATTTATGTGATATTTTCTTGTTAAAATATCAAGTGCAGTGGAAAGTGCTTGCTAAGTAGTAGGTAGTCAAAATATTTGCCAAATAAATGAATGTATTTTGGATGTCCAAACCTTTCCTTTTAATTTCTGATTAAATATGATTGTTAAATTACTATTAAATATATATGAATGAAGTACTGAAGAGAAATTCAGGATCATTCTAGTTCAGAAGCTCATGCTTTCTAGTGGATCCTATAGAGATTCCACCTGGCCTTTGGGGAAGTACAAGCTCCAGGATTGTTGTGCTCCTTGGTTAAGGGAACAGGAAAAATTAAGGGAACATTTCTATAAAATAAGGAAGGAGAGTACTTGCTAATTTCATACAGATTTTTATAACCCATCCCTTAATTTGTAGCTGATGCTTTAGTTTAATAGAGTAGAATTCATTTTAATTTTCCCATCTATATTGTGAAAACAATGATAGTAGCTAGCAATAAGGTAAGTATAAAATGAGATTTTAATGAGGTTAGTAAAAATTGGTATATTACCAGCATTGAATATATTCACATCCATAAAACATTTAAGTGCTTTCTACAGAGTAAGTTTTAAATATGACTACAGTAGTGCTATTGGTAGTACCAGAAAGAGTAACTGTAGTTATAATATTCATTTATCCTATTATCTGAACTATTACCAGAGCTAATAAGTTGGAAATACTTATGCCAGTCATTTAAGCTAATATGGATTTTTTTGTTGATTCTGTAGAGAGAAAATAACCCCAGTGGAATGTTTAGTATTTTAACAAATAATCTTCTAAACTCTTCCCTTTTGAAATGAAGTATTTTAACTTTATTACTGAATATATGCAAAGCACAGATTCCTTAAATATATCAACGTTAATGTCTATAATCTTTAAAAATACTTTTAAAAAACCTACTCTTACATATTTAGAAATTGCACTTTAGATTGATGAAAACATTAATCAGGGCCTACAGTATGTGGCCTCTGATCTCCAGTTAAGATTTCCACATTTCAAGAGGAGGCATCGTGATATCAACTGTTGTTCATAATGTGTAGTGGTCCCTTTGAAGGTTACCTGTATACAATTTTAGACATACTTAAATAATATTATTTGTTTAATAAGATACTTTTTACTAATGTATACATGAATGTGTCATTTTTAGACAGAATTTTACATCCCTGTACATGTAGCAAAAGCAAACAAACGTTTTATTATACTTGATTTTCAAGAGCAGTTTAATAGGCATCCTAGATATGAGTATTGCTGTATGTACTCATGTCACTAAAATTTACCCCCTCTATGGGAAAGTGTGCATGAGCAGAAATGCACATTTTCTCTGATCTCATAGCCAGGCTGTGTGCTGATTGTGACCATGAATGTTTGTTATGTCATTGGCTCAGAACATGTTGGTTCTTCTCCAGGGCACATTTTGCCATTAACTGTAGGTTAAATTATATTTTTTATTGTATATGTCTGCATTATTTCATACTAATAAAAAATAAAAGGTGGAAAATTGTATGTTAAGAACATAAAGCCTTTACTTAGCATGCTAAGTATTCTCCTTCAAATCAATTAGGCAACATGATCTTATTAAGCATATCTCGTTCTTTTTTTTTTCATTAAGTTTATTGGTACATTTTAGGCATATAATATGATGACATTCATCACTGAAGCATCACCCATTCTGAAATGAAATTCCTATGTAGAACTCTACAGTTACTATATCTAAGATGTTGAGCAGTGTTTAAATTAGCAAAATATCTGAAAAACCTACCTTATCACTAGCATAGCTTTGTTACCTATTTTTAAAATTATTTTTAATGAAAAAGAGTAAGATTTTAATCCAGAAGTATGTATGAAATCCCTAGCCATAACTACTCTGATTTGGCTCTTTAACAGAGTAGCATTGTCTCATTGTTTTTATTTTTAATCTTTGATAAGAGAATTTCAAAATCCTCATTTTTTTATTCATTAAGTTTATTGGTACATTTTAGGTATACAATATGATGGGCATTTATCATTGGGGATTTGCATCTTTGTACATGATATATCTTTTTTTTAAAATATTTTTTCCCCATTAACTTTGTTGGTACATTTTAGATATAAAATACAGTTACATTCATCATTGGGATCTTGCACCATTACGTGAGTGTCTTGGTTCTTATTTCTTTTCCCCCTTCCCTTGCCCTCCCTTCACCCCCTCCACCCTTCCCTATTTGCAAAGACCTTGTTTCCATTTTTTTCCTCTTCTCATATTTTTTTCTTTCCCTTTTTTCCCTTCCCCTACCCCTCCCAATTCCCCTGATCTTTTAGACCTTTTCTTCC